ATATTTATGTATCTTGGCTCAATAAGGGTTCAAATGCCTACTTTTCCGAAATAGACCCTATATGGAATTGCGCGATTTACCCATATATTTTACAGTTTACAACTAATATTGGCCCCATGTAGAATTTTCAGATTCATCCGATATTTTAAATTCGTTATTCAGCCAATATGGGCCAATATTGGCCATATACAGGACCAATATCGAAAAATCTAGACATCTCAATATTGGTCCTTCTGTGCATGTTCATATAGAACCAATATTGAGCCAGTTTTCAGCCCAACTGGGGCCTATGAAAATTTGTTGCATATACAATTTATTTTACAATGTCGCAGGGTATGTTAACTTTCCGATAAGGAAGTTTGAAATTTTAAAAAAAATTATCCGATAATATTTTAAAATAACAAAATATTTTATTTTAATCGAGATTCTTTTCTCCCTATCAATTTCATAATACAATGACCGAATACTTGCAGACAAATAATTTTGAATGCATTCAAAAATTACAACTTGACATGACACGTATTAATATCGTAAAAGCCTTCCTGTTTAAATCCTCAACGCACCGTGACCTGCCTAAAGCAATGATGACATGGATGAAATCCAGGGCTTTTGGTGCGGTTTAATTAATTAGGATTTTTTTAACTTTTTTTCTGTGTTCGATATGTTCGATCAGCAAGGACTTGAAGATAAAGCAGTCACAGTCAATTAACAACGGCCTTTAAGAAAGGACTAATTATTGATTGGTTACGAAATTCCACGATGCTGATACACACTGAGTGGCCAAATTATTATGACCACCTCTTCAGTACGCTGTTGGGCTACCTTTTGCGCGTATTACTGCCTTAATTCGTCTGGGCATGGATTCTATGAGATGTTGGTAGGTGGTAGAAGGTATGCCAGACCATGCTCGCTGAACTGCACTTGCCAATTCCTGCAAATTTGATGGTACTGGATCCATCTGTCTGAGCGCCTGTTGAATTTCATCCCACAAATTCTCAATTGGATTGAGATCTGGGGATTGTGCCGGCCGTCATGCTCTTCGAACCATCTGAGGACAATGCCAGCTTTATGACAAGGAGCGTTGACCTGCTGGAAGTATCCATCCCCGCCAGAGTACACCATTGACATAAACGAATGTACTTGATCTGCGATGATGGCATTAAGGCGTTGTGGTACAGGAATTAAAGGACCCATACAATACCAAGAGAACATTCCCCATACCATAACGTTGCCACCACCAGCTTGTAGTGTCGTGGCAATGCAGTTTGGGTCAATGCTTTCGTGCTGTTTTCTCCATATTCTCATCCTGCTATCTGCGCGATGCATTTGAAATCGTGATTCATCGGACCACATGACCCTCTTCCAGTCATCTACTGTCTAATGTTTGTGCTCCTTTGCAAATTGGAGACTTCTGCGCTTATTTAAAGCAGACAGTAGAGGCTTACGAACAGGTCGTCTGCTTTCATTCCCTATACGGCGCAATATGCGTCGAACAGTCCGTTCAGAGACGTTCACAGTTGCTCGTTGATTAAGATCACTTGCAATTTGTCGCACTGCTGCTCTCCTGTTGCGCTGCACAGCCCTGGCCAGCCTTCTCTCTGATCGAGCATTCAGTACCCTGCGACGACCACAAGTCTGACGTTGAGACCCGGTTTTTTGCTTGATTGTCCATTCTTTGTACACATTAACAACTGCTGCTCTAGAACACTTCACAAGTGCAGCCGTTTTGCTGATACTCGTTCCGACACATCTCGCACCCACAATCATTCCACGTTGATATTCAGTTAAATCACTTTTCTTTCCCATATCTGAGCAAGCAACACAGTATAACTGATGACTCACTTGTCCAGCATTCCCGTGATATAGTTATCTTGCCTTCTAGCGATAGCACTGTGACGCAATAACTCATTTGCATAAAACTCTGAGGTGGTCATAATAATTTGGCCACTCAGTATATATCTTACACACATGTAATATTCCAAAACTCGGCAACATTCCGAGCTTCGGCGACATTTGTAATTTTCCCTCATAATTAATCATCGTTTATCTATCGGTTTTACCACAATGGTTGAAAATCAAAACATTTAAAATCATTTTAGGACTTAGGTAGACCAAATGCAAAGGATATTATAAACAATTAATTAGAATATGTTTTGTTAGCGTTCTGGTGGTACATCAGTTTAAGTTCTACGTCATTTTAAAATAACTAAAGTAATTTAATTTCAATCGATTTTCTCTCTACCACCACTTTTAAAATAACTATGTCGGCGAAGTGACAGATAATTAATTTCAGTTTCTTTCATTAGTTCTTGTCCTGCCACTCACTAAAATCATTTTGAAGCTTTTTTTCTCTTAAATCTTCAAAGCACCCTGACCCTATTTGAATAAAAATGTTAACATCAATGAAATATAGACTTTTTAGTGTTTAATTAATTCGGAATGTTTTACGTTTCTCTTTGTGTTCGACGCGTTTAATCAGCAAGGACTTCATGATAAATGATAAATCAATCACAGAGTTGAATATGATTGACAATAGCCTTTCAGAAAAGACTAATGATTGATTGGATTACATTTTCAAAAGTAAACTCACATTTTTTGCACAATAGTTCCAGATTCAGCTTTAGGAGGAGTTTGTAACTTTCGTACATAATCTATAAGTTAGAGAAAATGAATTGTTAATTTATCAGTTTGGACACAGTTGGCTGAAGCTTGAAACGCAAAAGCTTTGAAATCATTTTTGGAGGAATGAGGTAAATTCAAATAAGATGGTAATTATAATTAATTAAAAATGTGGTGGGATAGTCTTTCAAAGAATTAGTTAAAATCTTGCAAAATTTCGAAACAAAATAATTTTAATTTCAATCGGGATTCTTCCCTATCAATTTTGTAATAATATGTCCGAAAATTGACAGATAATTAATTTTAAATAAGTTCCTGTAATTAGTACTTCGAAGGACACTTATTAATATCATTTTAAAACTGAAAATACCTCAGCGTACCATGACCTGCTTGAATTAAGTGTTGACATAGATGAAACTCTGGCTTTTTGGTGTGATTTAATTAATTAAGAGTGTCTTTATCTTTGTTTTTATGTTCCACACGTTTAATCAGCAAGGACTTGATGATAAATCAATCACGGAGAAAGTTGCGATTGACAACGACCTTTCAAATATGACTAATAATTGATTGATTGCGGATTTTTAAAAGACATTCGCATGTCGGGCAATGTTTGTGTAATAGTCCGAGATATCGGTAATTTTTTCAACGAGTTACTTTTGTGTTATAATCAAGAATACTTCGAAACGTTGACAATATTTATAATTTCCACACACAATCATTAAGCTAAGGTAAGCTGGTTGATGTTTATTTATCGATTTGACTACAATACCCTGAGGATTATAAATTAAAAATCTTCAGCATTTAAAGGGGTAGGGGACCAAATTCAAATGAAGTATAATTATAGTCACAATCAATTAATAACTGAATATATTGATTAATAATCAAACTGGTGCTACCTCGAAAGACTTGTTAGCCTTTCGAGGTGGCATTTTAAGTTTACACTATATTAAAATAACAGATAATTTAATAAACCAATCAGAAAATAAGTTACGATTGGCGACCTCCTTTCAAAAAAGAAATTACTGGATTGTTCTGTATTTCCTGCTTTGTGAATTTATATCTTCTAATTTTTTATAATTATGTAATTAGCAGTGTCATAAAAGGATGGCAATTTTAAAAAAGTTTTAAAATGTTATAGTTACCCAATAGACTGAAGCTAGTTAAAGTATTTTAATCCGCTGGTACTAATGTAAACACAGTACGTTGAGGTTTAGAACACAAAAGCTTTGAAATATTTCGAAAAAAGAGATAAAACGAGGGAAATTATGGGGAATAATTTTTTAAAAAAACATTAACTCATCTAAATATGACATTCTAAATGTAAGGTATTTTAAAATTACTAAAAAGTTTATTTTTTAATTAAATTTTCCCTTACCCCGATTTGAAACGGACTGTCAGATTAAATATAATTTCAATCCTATGATTCGTACTTAGTTTGCTAAGTATTAAACTTTAGTTTAATAGCTCGTTTAACCCTCTGCGCACCATTGTTTATAGTGTTTCCTCCTTAATGTTATTAATTCATTTTCGTATTTTGTCCTATCTCTTGAACTAACTGTCTACATAATTTTTAAAATTTGACAATCCAAATACAGTTTGATAAAAAAGTAACCTTTGCTACGTAATTGAAATTCTCTTTTCCATTTAATCGAGTAATATCTAATTAGAAATTTTTACATCGTTATTAAATGTCGCAATTTTAATTACTAAATTCCCAAAACGGCTGCCCAGTCGATGTTGATAATTAACTATCACAGCATGGGCCGATTTTCTTTGAAAATATCTAGGTGTCTGACTCTGTTCGGAATCCACTCTTATATAATGTCGCCGATGGTCCCTCGAAAAAAAAACTTTAGGTATAGTTTCGAAACGTGGGAAGTAGGGCGATAACTACCACCATCTGATTTGTGATATAAAATATAGTACTGAAGTGTATGCGTGCACCTGGATTATCTTTCAGATCTATAATTATAAATGATTATCAAACTATCACCACTACCCCATTAGTGTACTATCCAGCTATCACGAGAACTTCTCCAGACACCAAATTCACGGCTACTTTGGTTACAACGTTAACTCACTTTCAATAGGAGTATAAGGTTAATCATTTAGCATAGGTTTAGGCTAAGAGGAATGTGCCATTTAATCAATTCTACGTCATTAGAAATGGTTTGATTCTTGTTTCCATAACAACAAACTACCTCAGACTTTTAGTCGGAAAGAGTTCTCGTCGCAGCTGAACAATAGCTCTAGTGTGACGTTAAAAAACACAACTCAAATTAAACTTAGCGACACATTTTTACTATGACTGTGCATTTGTATGCAGTAATTTATTGCAATAAATGTATACTAAATGGATACTATTTATTACTATTTTTCAGATTCATAGCGACCAAATGCCGTTCCGTTGTGATTATTGCCAGAGACTGTTCAAGCACAAGCGCAGCAGAGATCGGCACGTTAAACTGCATACAGGCGATAGAAAATATCGCTGCACACAATGTGAATCGGCCTTCTCTCGCAGCGACCACCTCAAGATTCACATGAAAACCCATGACAATGGAAAACCCTATCAGTGCACAGTTTGCAATAGAGGATACAATACGGCTGCTGCTCTCTCATCGCACATGCAAAATCACAAGAAGACGGAAACTATTTTGGATGTTAATTCTTACACTAGAGGTGGTAATGGCACACCTACAAGCATCGCAAATGAAACTGTGGTAAGTTTTTACCATTTGTTATTGTTACTAAACATTACATTTTGCCATTATAACCATTAAAAAGTGGTTATTTTAAATTTTGTTACTAAACAATACCTTTTCTACCGTCTGCTACTAAATAATATATGTATATATATGTATATATATATGTATTCTGCCTATTTTCTAAATAATATACATTTTACCTTTTACTGAATAATAACCAGTTGCAAAAAAAAGAATATTTTTCAAAATTTGTAACAAGAAATGGCATATTTTATCTGACATAAACTTTAACATTTTTTATTATAAAATATAGATTTTATTTCTTGTAATTATAAAACGTTCATTCAAGTATATGTAAATAAAAATTTTAATACTCGGAAATTGAAATAAAAAAATTTATGTTCGCAAAATAAAATAAAAATAGCACTTTTACATGTTCATTCCTCGATTCCTATTCGTCGATTTAATTAAAATATTTGATTTCGACTCTTAAAAGTGCATTGTTTAAATAATGTCCAAATTTATGTGCCTCACAATTTCAAATAATTTTCTATCACTATAAGTTGAATGATAAAAAATAGTAAATGTTTTAAAATATTTTATTATTATCATTGAATGAACGAGATTTAGAGTTGTGTGCAAATTATAGAGCTGTGTTTAATAATAGAGTTGTGTTTTGATTTGTTTAATAAGTTCCAAGGATATGACATAATTCACGTTTATAGCTCCTACCTCTATACTTTGAGAATCAAAAATCCGAGCCCAGCAAAAAAAAGTATGTTTATTCAGAAAAAATACATTTTAACATACATATTATTAAATGCACATTTTACCATTTATAGTTTGAAAAAATCGCAGTCCAAAATGTCGTAGTTTTGAATTTCCGTTTCGTCTTAAGAGCTATTTGGCAGATTATGTTCAGATGTAGGATTTTTGCACAAAAAATTACAAAATTTAAAATGCTATTTTATTTATCCATTTAAAATTATATAAAGTTTTATCTCTTAACCTTACCTTAATATGGCTACAGTAAATTTTTGATGATATTGAGGGCCCTATGAAGTAGTTTATGAAATTAAGTTATAGCTATTCATTTGCATTAAGTATAGTATTTCATTTACACTTATAATTTACATCTATTTACATCTTTTATTCATTTTAAATCAAGATGCTGAAAGTTGATTCAAAACATTGAGACGTTAAACAGCAATCTCCAACATTTTTGACATTAAGTTCCATATGAATTGATCCTTAATAGTTATTTACATCAAATAGTTCATTTACATTTAAATATAAAGTGATTTATTATACGAAATTACAGTTATCCATTTACATTGAGTGCTCAAATGCAAGATCTGGTATCAGAACATTGAAACGTAAGCAGCAGACTTTAATATCTTTGGCATAAAGTTCCATATGAAATTATCTTTTATGTGAAGTTGTAGTTATTCACTTACATTGAGTATAATGGTTCATTTGCATACCTATATAAAGTGATTTAAATTATGAAATTACAATTATTCATTTACAATAAGTGCTTAAATGCTATATGGGGATTCATAACATTGGAACGTAAGCAACAGGCTCCAATATTTTTGACATTAAGTTCCGGACGAAGTGGTATATTATGTGAAATTACAGTTATTGAGTGTATGAGTCGATATATGAATTACATTGAATGCTTAAACTTTAGATGTGAATTCATAACATTGGAACGTAAGCAACAGGCTCCAACATTTTTGACATTAAGTTCCAGACGAAGTGATATATTATGCGAAATTACAGTTATTGAGTGTGTGAGTCGATATACGAGTTACATTGAGTGCTTAAACTTTAGATGTGGATTCATAACATTGGGATCTAGGCTCCAATATTTCCTGAATTTTAATATATGAAATGATCGTATAGTATGATTTTATATTATTATTATTTTATTAAAATGAGTATCCAAGTGCAAAGGTACCCTCGCTCAAGGAAAATTCATAGCATTTTAATGTAAGGCTTGTTAACAATAAAAAAGTAGCAAAAATCAACCTAGTTCATACAATCTTCATTTATAATGAGAAAAACCTTGTTACGAAAATAAATAAAAAAAATGACATCAATTTATTCGTTTATAGAAACTTGCAATTTATGATCAACGAGATATTTCATCTTAACGCACTGCCTTTTATTTATTACTGAATCAATTAATTAAAAATACTTAAAGTTACCCTTCACTAGGCATTAATAAGTGTAGAACATCACTCATGCCTTGTTAGAAAGAAATGGGTTGCGACAATTTACAACGGTCGAACATCAGGAATGAAAATTACGCCCGTGGCTACATTAATGTTCTTTCCCAAACGTTCTAACCTCATCAAGGTGTAGAGGGAACAATGATACCTTCAATGAGCTCTTATTTATGAGTAACCATTAGTATCCGTAAGAGTCGGTAGGCGTCGCTCAAGAGGCACTTCACAAAACCCAGAAATGGAAGATGAATTTAGGTTGGGGACGTGCGCAAACACAAGGCCACAAGAGATATGCTTTATTTACTTGCGTCACAAGTACGGGGCTACCCCCAGGGGACGAAACTTCACGGTGGGCCCTCGACAATAAAGAGCACGTTTTGGATATTTTCTTGATTGGTGACTTCTAGCTCAGTTTTGCCTTGTTTCTTTTTATTTAATGTACTGAGGAAAGCGAAGAGATACGGGGCTTCTGTTTATTTAAAGCATTTTGTAGAATGTATGAGTGCACTAGTGAGTATTTTGAGACCAAAAAGTTAATGAGATTTCAAAAGTTAGGGAAGTGAATGGTTGAACTGAAAAAATTATGAGTGGAGTTTTAAGTTAGATGAAAGGAAGAAAGATTTTTGAGAAAGATACGGGTTGTGATGTACGTCGTTTTGTCACTATATATTTAAGTGAATGATATGAAGAAGAAAAAAACATTGGTGATTCTTAATGAATTTAGTGACTGTTAATGAATAATTCATACAGTAGCAAAATGTGACGGAATTGCGAATTGAAAATTTTACGCTTACTTAGTATATAAAATATCTAAATACCTCTCATATATATATATTTTTTTTTTTAACTGATGATGTTTAATTTTTAAAAAAAATTTGTTTGATCTTTTTTGTTTGAAGAAAAGTAAATTATGTACCTCTTAAAACCTTTTTTTTTCTTTTTTGATAACTACTGAAAAATTAGAATTACAAAGATACTGAGTTAAGCGTTATTACATAACATCCCCAACTTAAATCGACTGTTTATCAATTGTTTTATTTTTTCTAATGTCCTCCTCAATTTTTGCGAAACTTTCTTTGTTTTCGACGAAACCGTTTCCTGCTATATGGTCCGAGCAAAAAATTCGTCAAACTGACGAAATGAGTATCGTCACTTCTTCAAGGAAACAAATTTCGGCAAAATTGAAAAAAAAATATTTCGTCATTCTATTTTTTTTTCCCAATTCCCACCTAGAGAATGACCTTTTCGTTATTACATGCATCTGAAGGGCAGATTTATTGGCCACTCTTTCAGGGGCACCATATTAGGTGGGCCAACGTTGCCCCACAGACAGATAGTACAGAGAAGGAAAGAACACCCATGCCTTGCTCGGGATTCGAACCCAGAACCTTTCTGATGTTTATCAAATATGCTAACGCAAAATTAAAGACCACTTTAAAGATAGGGAAAAAGGAGCTAGTGTGGACATTTTTTTTCGAATTTGTCATAAAACCATTTTTAATGTAGTATTCTTGACTTATGAATTATTTTTTTAACGATAGTTTGAATGATTACCAGTATTCTTATTTACAACTGAAATTAAAAAGTCGTTCAGTTCTTCCATAATAATATTTTAAGTAAGGCTGCTTATGTCCACTGCACAAGCAGCGCGTGGACAAGCAATGGGACTTGCGTCGACAAACTTGGTAACTTATTAAATAGCCACCAAGTTTGTTATTTATTTTCAACTTGTTTGTTTGTTATTTCATATTGTTAGTTATAGTTATCTAGTGATATTTTATTTTCAATTCAGAAAATTATATCAAAATCCAAAATGATATCAATCAACAATTTTAATTACCTTAATTGAATCAATTTTAATTACCTTAGTTGTAACATATAATGACATGGTTCGAGTGGTTTAACGATATTTCCGTCACTGGAGCAATGAAAACAACATGCAAAAAAGAATACGATAAAAATGCAACCTTTTTTTAAATTACGATTTATCAGGGACTCTTCCCCCAATTTCTCTCATTTTCTTAAATATGAACGGCATAATTATGTCCTTAAAAATGATGTAAATAATTGTGTTACTTACAATTCAAACTTTTTCGGGTATTATTAAACACAACAGTAAAAAATAATGAATATTTACTAAAAATCATTTTTTGCACGGATTTATCTTTAGATGAACAAATTTTATAATTATGTGCAAAAAATTTTTCGATTCGCTTGAAAAGTTCTTGAAATACGGCGAAATACTCCAAAGGTAAAATTAACATTATGGGGATAGACATGAACTTTCATTCACAAAGTAATTTTTTTTTTCTTTTTTTTTCTCGAATGGCAGGCACTGAACTTTATTCGTTTCGCCTTCGAAGATGCCAGAGTTGTTACTCATTTCGCGTTACCCAGTGGGCCCCTGTGAGCCAAAGTCATGGAGGCGAGTAACATTGCCCACGCCACACTGCCACAAACCCGTTCATAGGGTGGGCCACATTCACTCATCACACACAACAGAGGACCACGAAAGAGAGAGTAACATCCATGCCCAGAGCGTGTTTCGAACCCGCGGCCATTGACTTCGCAGTCAGGCGAGCTAACCGCTCGGCCACCTGGCCGGCACAAAGTAAAACTTGAAAAATATTTAAAATATATACACAAACAAAGCCAAAAGAACAAAAAAGAAGAAAAAAAAGAAACCTTTAGTTGCCGAATAACATATCATAATTTATAAATTTTAAGGCGTATTAACAGAAAAATCAACTAAGAGTTTTCATTTTAATGCTAGAGCTTGTAAAAAAAATTCATTTAAGAAAAATACATTCATAAAGAAAAAGTACATTTTGTAAAGTACAATGCCATTAATTTAAATAATTTGATGTCTAAACATTTTTTTCGCTCATAAATTTATTTCAAAGTTGAATAAAATACATATTTATATAGGAGACATTTATAGTTGATCTTTTTAAATTAAAGGAATTATATATACTGAAAAGCGTTATAGCTTATAATTACTGCATACATGTTTTTCTATAAACGATAAATTATTCATGTTGATTTTGCCTTTTTCTGTTAGTATTTAGCATGAAACAGAATGAAAAAAAAACACAAGTAAAAAAAATATGACGAAAAGAATTTTTGCAAAAATTTATAACTCAAACCAAAAATAAAACATTAGAAACATTACATTACATAAAACATCAGAAAATTTCGTGTTTTTACACTAATGGCACAATATGTAAATAATATTTTTAAACACTAAATTATGGACCATGGAATGGCAACTATTCAAATCCAAATCTTCTGCATTAAATAATCGTTTCCTTTCAATGATACGAGAGGGTACTGTGGCCCGTTGGGTAAAAACAAACTTTAAGAAAAGCGTTATGATGACGTCACAACGGATTATTTTTAAGTATTATCGTGCATGTTTTTTTATATTTATTGACGTTTTATTAAATTATAAGCTAATTAATCCAATCACTAATTATACTGATTTATTATTCAAATCGGTTTGTGGTTGATGGAGTCGTTGTTTTATTGTTTAGCTTCTTTTTTTCCCTTATTCACTTTTTATGCCAACAATCATTCAGAGTATCAGTCAAACGTAGTATTAGAATAAGATTCTTTCTAATATCATAGTCTCTAAATATAATATTATTTAATTAGAAAACGCATGAAATATTTGTTAAATGATTTCTACATAAAGAAAAATTAATCAATAAAAATTACGTTCGTTAAAGTTAATGAAAATTTTGATTGTAGATTAATATCAAAATTCCCTCTAAAGACAAATACAGTTTCATAACGTATAAAAATATTAATTCCTAATAGTTAACATGAATTCTAAATTATTTGTGAAGTGAATGGATAAATTCGGTTAATTAAAAAAATAATAAAATTATACATATTCTTTTTAATATATTAAAACAGTTTGTATCATTCCATTTTAAAAGATGTTAGGAAATTTACAATCAAACTTATATTTTAGATTGATAAAGATGGACAAGGAAACGAGTCTCCAGACCCTCCTAAGCCTATTATCTGTAGCTTCTGTCCCCAAATTTGCTCCTCTCCTGCAACTCTGGGTGACCATATGCTACAAAGCCATCGGACATTTTCGACCTCCTCCCCTTTGTCAGATTCACCACGTCCACCATCTTCCAGATCCTGTTTCAAATGCTTAGATGAACTTTCGTCGCCAAATGCTGCTTGTACTCACAAAAAGGTTAGCCAAAGAATATATATATCTTGAAACAAAATTAATCCCTTATTATTTCCCACGAATGTCAAATTTTGAAAATTTTATAGTTCACAATTTTTTTGAATTCAAAAAGTTTAGCTTTGATGTATTCAATAACTTATATTTTCCTGCACGGAAAAAAAAATTTTGGTAAAATTACCGTACTGTGTAGGTAAAATTACCGTACATTTCTGGTAAAAAATATATATAATAATTCTACTATTAAACCCAAAATATTTAAACCATTCATTTGGTATTGCTTTACCGCAAATTCTAATATTCATAATCATAGTTATTATTTCCACAAATTTAATAAGAATTTGAAAAAAATAAACTTGCAAAAAATTAAATAAATATAAAGTTAGCATTATTAAATAAAAGATAGTGTTACCATAAAACATAATTATGCCCTTAGTGATAATAAACCAACAGTATTCTATATCGCTTATTAATAATTGTAGTTGACTAAAGTCAATATTCCCTCTTCCAAATAAACATAACCTGTAATAAATATAAATATTATGAGTATATATGTTGAGATAAGAAGACCTTTTACAGGTAAGACCTGTTATAAGTAACCAAAAAAGTATAGGCTTTACTTTACGCTATTAAGAATAAAGCAAAGTACGTGAATAATTCGCAGCTAAAGGTACAAAAAGGGATATACTATAGTAATGGTTATTTAAACAACAATCTTCTCCAGTGTATAAGGACCAAATGACAGTAGAAAACTAACGAGACAAACGCGTACAAGATGGTATAATCTGTAGGGAAATAAGAAACAGGCGTGAAGGTGTTTAACGTGAACTCTGTAGTAATCGACGTCGAAATTAAATTAGAATACATTTCATTGGGATTACATTGGGATAGGATAGAAAATTAGAAAGATTATAAGCAAATTATTGGAATTTTTCAAAATACTGAATGATTCCCCATTCAACAACAATCGATTAAATAAATCGATTGTTGTTGAATGAATAGACCAGAGTTAAATGATTCTAGCTCCATAAAACAATTCATAAATAACATAAGTTTGAGTTTTAACAGAAAAAAATTAGGTTTATAAGCTTCATAGTTTTGTGTTTTCTGGAAAGTTCTTGTTTATAGAAACAAAATTATAGTATATAAATTTCTGCACTTTTATATGTGTGGCAAGATTTCCATAACGTGATCTATGGCAGAAAAGTCGCCAAGTCGTGGCAACTTCCTTGCAGCGGCTCGCGAGAAACTAAAATAACATCACACAGAGGGGCCAACTCGAAAGGTATAACTCGTAGTAACCCCCGGGCAAACATCTACATGATTTTTTTAAAAAAATTGCAAGATTATCATCTATTTGGCACCTTGGCGGCTGTAGTTGGCAGATCACGTCGCGGAAATATTCCCATATGTGCAACATTCATGCTGATTTGCTTCCTTTTATTATTGCTAAGCATATTTTTCTAATGCAACTTTTCTTTAATAGAACACATCTGATACCGATACTGATCGAAGTAGCAATCCAGAAGCAAATAGCGCAAAACCCCATGAAAGAGCATCACCAAGTATGAAACTGACGTGCGGATTTTGTTCCAAGTCTGACTTTCCGACTTTTGAATCATTACAACTGCATGTTCAAGTTCTGCACATTCCAACTGGTGCTGGTGGGGAATGTGGAAATAATTTTGCAGCTTCACTTCGATCTTTGCAATCTTTGATGCATAAAAGAAGCCAATATCCGCCAAATGCATCAGGTAAGGCTTTTCAGTCTGAAAACTTGATACTTATGCCATTGAAGTAGTGATTTGTGGGCATAAATGAAATAATAAAAACTAAACGCTAGTGTAAAAATTATTTCCATGGTTTTAAAATTGGTTAATTTTCTCGAGCCTTCTCTAAAGATAGATAATTTCAATAGGATATATAACTTTAATTAAAAGAATGACCATGTTTATTTGCATGAAAAAAGAAGTGGCCCTTGATGGCGCTGATTGTAGCAAATTCAGAGAAGTCCGATTTATCTGCTAAATACCGATAACTTTTTTTAAATATTTATAAAACTTACTATTCGATGTCAATTTATTTTCAAAGAAAAATATTAACTATCCCTTGCTGTTTCTGCTCAATATCTTCTTTAATCTATAAGAGTAAGCTACAAAAAATTAAATCTGAAAGATGTTCTGCTACAAGTAACCTCATAGAAATAAAATCTCACCGAATCACCATCTGTTGAAGGGTTTTTAAAGCTTAAAAACGATGGTAATAAATTCTCAGCAGACGCGATTTTTTTAAAACTTTTTTTCAAACTCAAATGTAATTTTTTTTGCCTCTTACAATCTTTTAACATGATTTTTTATATGAAAAATGGAAATAATATGTTTACCAATATTCTTCATCGCAATTTTTTAGAACCTTTCGGGTATCAAATGATGGACTGTGATAATAGTTATTCGGCCCTACACATGCTTCAGAAGTATCCGTCTCTTAGTGATGGCTTCATGATGAAAAGGCCCAATGACATCTATTGTTCTCAGTGTAACATAAGTTTTGCATCATCGGCAGCTCTCTTAGATCACGTGCAACTAGTCCATGAAGCACCAAGTGGAAATGTACCCCGGTCCCCATCATCCCCTGTCAGCAATCAATCAAGCAAAAGGTAAATTTTTAATGATATAACTCATGATGTATGTCAGTGTCAATGTGTTTCGTAATCACCACCCTTAATGTATATTTTTAGAATCGTCGTAAACAATGAAACTATGCATATTAGGGTTCAGAAATTAATTTTGAATTGAAGGAGAACAAAAATGTTTCTTAATTCTGGCCAATCACTGACCATGTGAAAGAGATCAGAGCAGAAATTAAAATTCCCGAATACTCATTTGTTTGGAGATGAAAAATATAAGCAGTTTATAGAGAAAGGAACTTAAGTTTTTCGTCATTTAATAATTTTCTCTCTGGTCATTTTCTGATATTATGAGCATGGCATTTTCAAAAATTTTTCCAAAGGTTCTAAAACCATCTATTATATATGTTTCCGAACAGCTTATATATATTATGCTAAAATAGCCTTATGATATGCTTTGATGCTCAAATACTTTTGATACTAGTAATAATGATACTTTTTGATACTGAGAATAATTTTTTCAATTTTGATGTTGAACTTGGTAGAAAAAACATTTCGAACTTGAACGTTAAGAACGTAAAAAATAAAATGAAAGATTTCAAGAAACTAAAATTATGAACTATTGAAGTAGAAAAAAATCGACTTATTTCGAACGTTAGAACATAGCACTCATTCTCAAGATAAGCAACGTCTGAATAATGAAACTATAACACGTTAGAAATAAGAAAAAGCACGATTGTCAATAAAGAAAAGGAAAATATTGCAGACAACAGAATAAGAAAAAAACCGCGGTGACTGAAGGGACGATGGTAACTGAAGGAGGCAAATCAGGGCAAAATAAATTTTTACGTAGAACGTAAGGTACGAGTGGAACTGACTTCATTAACTAGAGAATCGGCAATCATTGTGACTAAATAAACACTTAAGAGCAATTGAAGTTAAATTTACACCCAAGATCAGAACAGTTCATTTTTGCACATGATTATTGTCCCCATAATTCACTAACATTTTTTTTCTCATTTTAATTCTTAAACGAAAATAGAGTTCTTATACACGAGAAAAATATAGAAGATAATCTTTTTTTATAAGTAACACTAATGAAAAAAAAAGGTTTTTTTTTTTTTTTACTTAGAAATTTTTAGTGAACCTTTAGGTTTAATTGTTACAATTCATATTTTTCATGGTAAAAATCAAATTATGACTACGATGAAATGACGTTTTTATGTTCAAAAGAGCTAACACAGAATGCATAAATCAAGATGATTAACCTTATCATTTAAACTTATTATAACTTGAAAATACAATATATAAACGTTAAATATCGAATTATTTTAAATTATGTCTAAAACTTTTTCTAATAGGTTGTTGGCGAGTTCTAGGCTTAGGCCGAATGGCGCCAAGCATTCAAAATCTTCCAACTTGTCTGGTATTCATCCAACAATGTTTAATGGAAGTACAAGCTGTCATTACAGGAGGCAAGATCCAGGCGGAGGCCATTCTCTAACCTCAGGTAAAGATGCAAATTTTTTCGAATGCAATTTGGAATTATGCAATTTCTACCATTTCTGTTCGAACCTACGGTTTTTTAATTTCCTTCAACACCGATGGAGTAAAACGTATATGCCTGCTCGAAATCAATGCAAAACTCCATAATTATTATTTTATATCCGTCGTTGAACAGCTGCCCAATTTCGGGTTTACGACTACTAAGTCCAACTCCATAGCCTTGTAGTTTTGAACCCAATATAGAAGACAAGGGAACTCCTGGATCAAGTATTTGGAGGTATTTGGGTTTGTGGAGGAATTTTTGATTGAACTAACCTGCATTTGAGTTACATGGAGAGGAAAACCACGAAAACTTTCACTGTTAGCCTGACGGCAAGGGGCTTTTAACCCGTGATCTATCTACCACTGCGTATATTTTACGTCAGCACTGAAGTCGATATCAAATAGCAGTTCCAATTGGAATCAGTTTGCTTAGTAATAAAATATGGTAAAACATTATCTGTTTGAATTTAATGTGATAAAAAAATATTTTCATGTCTTTTTAATGGTTGAAAAAGGTTTTTTCTCATTGTTATTTACCTGAAGAAAATAAAAACAAAAACCACATAATTATTTTCAGGCCAAACAACTGAAAATGGACCAAATACTCTTCTCTGCAGTCAGTGTAACGCCGGATTCTCAGATTTCGAATCCTTCCGGACGCACTTGAAAAGTCACCTGGATGCTGCAGCAGCCGCATCAACATCTGGTCCAGTTTCTTCGGCAGCAGTAATGCAACAGCATTCCTGCCCAGAATGCAATGCTGAATTTGCTAACGAAACTTTGTTGGACAGTCATGTGATTGGACATTTTTTGTCAGCCACTACGGAGTATGGCTGCCAGTCTTGCATGAAGCTGTTTCAGAAACCAGATGAGCTGCAAAAGCATTTAATGGATATGCACGCATATCATTTGTATAGATGCGCCCTCTGTAAGCAGATCTTTGATTCAAAGGTGAGTCACTGTCATTTATTCTTTTTTTTCTAAACGAAACGAAATTATTCTTCAAAAAAATGACTAGGCTTTAAATTTAATTGACTCTGGACAAGATCTGAAAATGATTAATAACTGTAATTTACGCATGGAATTGTAAAGCCTGCAATTCCATAAGCGAATGTGCTTAAATAAGAGAACAATATTTTAAGCCATATGCGCACCAGCAAGTGCGCCTTGGGTTAAGGCGGTAAAGATGCCTTGTAACTCCGCAAGTGAGGAGCTGGCTGTCATGAGTTCGATCGTTTCACACTGCTAAATTACCTGTGTGTATATGCAGTAAGGTTCCCATTAAATTGAACTCTGGTGAAATTCATCTCGTTGATTTTGGTGTGAAAATTTGGAAAGAGAGATACTTGCTCAGATGCTGCCTACGTTGTCTGACCGGGGTCAAAGTTAATTCGCTTTCCTACCATGACCGTTAAAAGATAGAGGCCTTGAAAAGCGGATGGTTCAATGATGCACATCTTCTGCCGATTAATTAATGTCTATTTTTAAAGTCCGAATTTTCGTTTGATTTTAAAACAAAATTTCAAACTAAAAAATGTATTTTTTTATTTGAAGTTTAAATAAGATGAAATCATTAGTGTTATAGAAGGTTTAAATAATATTGTCATGTAAAGGAAGCAGATAAATTTTCTCTAATCAACATAATTTTCGTGTCGTCAACTTTTCATACTCTCAAATAAAATAGAATTTTGTTTCTAAGTCCTTCACTAGCTTAAAAAGAAGAATGTCGAAACACTCGATTCTGTAGAATCAGACTTTAGCTCTATTTATTAAAAAAAAAGTTTATTTCACGTATTTTAATATTTGTTTATTTTTTATTCGCTACGTCAGATAAATTTAATGAACAATATTAACGTTGTATCATTCGTAGATTACGTCACCAAATGAATATTTCTAAATTTATCTGATGCCCCACGTGTTTAGTTTGTTTGTAGTAATTCTTTTAAAATGTGTTTCTATAAAAGTAAACAATTTAAAATAAACGGTAATTGAAATTTTAAAAAAAATAGTTATGTTTTCAAAGACAAAATTAATGCAAAATTGATACTAATTTGCTCAGGAGAAACGTAAAAAATTGTTAAAGGATAATATTTTCAGTAAAACCACGAATTAAAAACATAACTTTTTAAAAGTTTTTTAGTAAAAAAGAATTTTTTGTAATGTTTCGAAATACCAATAAAATTTCTATATGCTTATTGTTACTTTAATTTAAAGCTTAAACTTTAAAACTATTTTTAGGACATAGTAATTACAATAACATAATAATAATAAAAAATCACAAAAACTGCTTTTTAGAGAGAAAATGTGGTTCTATAAAAATTTTGTTTTTACCATGCTTTTCTCCAAAATTTAAAAAAGGATAAAATATTAAATCAAAATGCCTTTTTATGACAATTTATGCTAAAATAATTCAACAAAATAGGGCTTCAATTTTTAGGTGTTTTTTTTAAATAAATAAATATAAAAAGAAAAGCTTTGAAGTAATAGAGATATTTACAACACACAAAAAATGCAATGAATACAATAAACTCCCTTTATTTTATTTTTTTAAATTTCGCAAATTGCTTTCATAAATGTTTGCCAAAATTTAAATGACCTGCAATTGGATACCAGCAAGTGACGTCATCGTAGGTAAATCATTTGTCAATTCAGAGGCCAACCAGGTTCGACACCCACACACCCACACATGACGTCACTTGGTATGTGTTTTTACCCTATTAAATCTTATAAGTTACCCAATTAAACCCCATACCCATGAGTTACCCAATTAAATCTTATTTGAATCACATGGTTAAGCATAATCACTTCACGTCTGAAGTTTCCAGCACCCGATTAATGTTTCGTTGATATTGACAAGAACTTCCTTGCGTTTTTAATAACAATAAGAAGAATAACAAGAAATTATTTAATGTTTCTTAATCGTCAACATGAATATATCACTGTTGAATAGTGTAAAATAAAATCAAATGATAATCTCAATGCCGGACATAGTTCATTCCTCAAAACACTTAGCATGATAAAATTTACACTTTATCACCCTTCTTCCATTTAATTATACCTTATTTTAATGTTACAAGATCTAGAGCATTTAAGTGCTCATCCTGAATCTGAAATCTATCATTTAGCTTATCGAGCAACTCTCTAACTAATTAAAAATACACCTCTTAATCATATTCATCTCTGCCAACGCACACAATGATATTTAAAGTGTCGGCTTCATCAAAAGACAACCGCTTTCTTAACTACTTTACACAAATGAACTTCATACCTACGACCTTCAAGACTTATCTTCTTGCATATTCAAACTTCTATGGGAAAATGTCACGCTGCCAATTTACATTTTCTTCTTTTTTTTACATCTTCGGATGATAGAGAAGCCACGCAGTCTTGTTTTACTTCATATGGAGATCGCCACGGGCGCTGTTTTTGGCGATAATGAATTTTGGGTTTCTCATGAATGGGACGCGATTTTATTGATTAATGAATTTAAGGAAGTAGTAGAGCTTGTAGTACTGCCAATTGAACTCGTGTCTTATTTTGTTAATGAGTGCTGAACCGAGGGAAGTTTATGTATCAAATGAGGACTTAGTGTTTTGCTGAAAGGAGTAATCATATTACATCAAAAACTTAAACTATATTGTTTCGGTTTCATAATTTATGTGAATAAGATTTTTAATTCTCTCAAAGTATAGAGTTTATGCGTTAGGAAAGTTTTAAAAAAATTGTTTTACTTCTTGCGATTTTATAGTTACATACAATATTTTTAACGGAAAATATTTCTATCGCTTCCTCATTGTAAGCAATTAGAAGACGAAATAGTTTACTTTTATAGCTTATTCAATGTTTGAACTAATACAGAAGAAAGTATGTATACACCGAAGAGCCATTACATTATGGCCACCCTGCAAATAACATGTAGGACCACCTTTAACCCTCAAAACTGCTAGCACCTGCCGTGGCATAGATTCCACAAAGTGCTGATAGGTAGTCTGAGGTATCTGGTACCAAACGCTCACCAACTGGTCCTGTAATTCCTTCACATTGCGAGGAGGTAGCGTGGCAGCACGAGTTTGGTTTTCCAAGTAGGACCACAAATGCTCTATTGGATTAAGGCCAGGTGAATTTGGGTGCCAAGACATGACTTGAAAGTCACTGGAATGTTCCTCGAACTAATCCATGACGATTCGACCCTTATGACATGGTGCATTATCCTGTTGGTAAACACCATCCCCCGTAGGAAAAACTGTTGCCATGAATGGGTGAACCTGGTCTGCAACTATGTTCAAGTAGCTTACAGACATCAGGGATTGTTCTATGAGGATTATGGGTCCTAATGTGCCCCATGAAAACATTGTTCCTGGGCGAGAAACCATGAAAACCTGGGCGAGCCCATTGTTATAGATGGAGGGTGGTCATAATGTAATGGCTCTTCGGTATATGTGCTTATGAATGAAAAAAAAGTAAAAAAAGTTGGTAAGGTCAAATATTTCGAGAAATATACATCGGATCAAAAAACTGAAAACTGAAACGTGAAATAGTTATCCATTAATATCAAATTCGACCCCATGGGACCATTATTAAAAATCTTAAACTTGATCCCTTATTTTTTATTGCAGATTAGGATTCTCCAGAAAAAAAGTAACGTGATTCGATCTATTTGTTTATGCATTTCACTGAGTCACTGTAACCCACAAAAATTAAAATGGGGTACAAGATGCTTAAAATCTCGGTATCTCGAAACCAATCTTATTGAGAAAAAAAATGCTTTTTAAAAAAAAAAAAAAAAAATTTAAAAAACCCTTACAAGAATGTGAAACATGTGATGGGTTTCGGGATTTGCCATTTTAAACAGATTGTACTCGGTTTCACTTTTTCTCGATTTCAACTCAATCTTTAGAGCAACATACATAAATCAGTGGGCCATGCATAGTTACTTTTTTCTAAAGAATCCAAATCTGCAACTAAAAAAGGGGATTTATGATTTATATTTAAGATTTCAAAGTTAACCCCTGGTGAGGTTTAAGATTGAGTTGTTTGAAACCATTGGAAAGCTTTTAAAAAAAATTATGAAATGAGTTTCTTTAGATTCAAAGTATATTTCTTGAATTAATTGATAGCTTCCAAACATTTTCTACATCCTGCGCTATTATATATATTGCTCAATACCTGGGGCAGAAGCCATTTCAATTGTAACAAAACAACGTGTTGCACAATCGACTCATGAGCAAATTAATGTTTTACATAAATACTCTTGTTAAAGTAGAAAATATTTTATTTGTCGCAAAACAGCGTTCTAAAATGGTTTTGTTCCAATTACAAATTAATGTTCGAAAGATTGGTTCGTTGATTTAGAAAATATTTCCAATTCTTGCAAAACTCAATTCCAAAATCGGGCTGTTCATAAACTAATGTTCTGCAGATTGCGAGAAAAATAATTTAAAAATTATTGTTTATCGCTGATTTAAAGAGCGGTAATTTCTATTAATTGTTTTGTCTCATTACGTTAACCAAAAAAGGGCGTTTAAAATGAATCCCATGAAACCCGAAAAAAACCTAACTAAACTAAAAAGAAACTTGAGTCAGACAATGATTATTGTGAGCTGATTGCGTTCTAAAAAATATTGCTTTTCAATGCTTATTATTTCCGTCTCGTTTTATTAATAAATAACCTTTCAAGGATAACACGCAAAACTATTGCTCAATTCCTCCCTTAAACTGTTAGTTTAACTTTAACAAATGAGCAAAAAATCGAAAATTAACTTTCCTCTATTAAACTCTTATTTTCTAAAAACCTTTATCGTATTTTATCGTATCTCATTAGAATTGTTTAAAAAATATATTTACAGAGTTATCAACAGAAATTCTTTTTCTCTTTCCTTTTTTTCTATTTTAGAAAAAATAAATATCTAAATTTTAAAACTTTATAATTTTAAGTGCTAAATTATGCTGTATAAAAAGTCCTTTCTAAATTATGACTTTAATATAAATGCAATTTTCATAATTTTGAATTCATATTTGTATGATGCTTTCTATTTGTTTCATGTTAGTTTTCAAGATGTTAAATTATATATTTGTGACATTTTTTTTATATTTTATACATTTATAGTAAAAATAATAGTTTAACATTATCATACAAATCTGCTTTTTTTTCTGTTTATAAAAATTTTATATACGTTTTAATTTATATAGTTTTACAGACAATTGTTTAAAAATGTATTTGAAAACTACTAAAAAATTGTAAATTTTACATCAACAATTTAATTTGTTTTCAAATCCTTTATTAAGGCATTAGAAGGCAGTTTTAAACAAAAAACAAATACTTTAAAATTCTGACAAATTGTTATATACTTTAGAAATACTAATTTGGTGTTAACGTTCACGTTAATAATTGATTTTATCTAAAATGCGAATAAAAAAAGTATATATTAACGAAAGTGCAATTAACTTTTTTTTAAGCAGTGGCTATGAGCCAGCAAGCACCGATGGAATCCTTGAAAAATTAAAATCATCAACAGTTTCATTTTTATAAATTACTAGTTCAAAACAATTGGAAATTTTCCTTCTTCAAACGTCTCTCCTGAACAATCAAATCAAAAATTTGGAATGAATATTAAAATCGGATGTTAAAATTGCTATTTTCACGTACTACCCAAATTTCAGGACGCTACCTCAAACGGTTAATAAAAGTTAAACGGTTAATAATGAAAAAGTATTAAAATATGTTTAATAAAAATTGTGCATCAAAGGATTAAAGAGAATAAATTAACCATAGATGTAGCTTAGTGGTTGAAAAGCTAAAGTTACATGCATGCATGCAAATTATGAGAAACTAACATTTGCCAGCATGAATTCATAAAAAATTAATATGACGGAATAAAAAAATTAAGGGTCAAGAAACAGTAAAATAAAACAGAAAAAACTGGACTCAGCTTAATCAATGAAAGAAATATTCTTGCACGCAAGTATGTAATTAATAAAAACAAAAATTTTAAACCTGGTCACAAAATACAAGCACGAAATATTTTTTTTCAGAAATGAACAAATTATAAAAAAATTAGTTTTTTCATGTTTTGAAATTTTTAACCACTGTAAAGTATTTTATAAATGATAGATGTTTTTTATCAAGGAAAAGTTTAAAATTCTGTAGATTTCAAGAGAAGATTTTGAAAGCATGTTATTAATGACTCTGAATACAAAACATTTTCATCGGCTGAGACTTTAAATTAGGGTGGGTGGAAGGGAAAAATATGTTTTGTAAGCATCTTCCTTGCGTTACTATATATTTCAATAAAAATTTTCGAAAATCTATTAAAATTCCATTTGATAGGTTCTGACGCTAAGCTCTTCAGAAAATTCTAAGTTCATTAAAATTACATTTAACATACTCTGACGTTTCTTCAGTTCATTAAAATGCTATTTTACATGTTCTGACACTAAGCTCTTCAGTTATCAGCTAAGCTCTTCAGTAAATTCTCAGTTCATTAAAATACCATTTGACATACTCTGACGCTTCTTCAGTTAATTAAAAGGCTATTTTAGATGTTCTGACACTAAGCTCTTCATTAAATTCTCAGTTCATTAAAATGCCATTTAATATACTCTGACGCTTCTTCAGTTAATTAAAATGCTATTCAAGATGTTCTGACACTAGGCTCTTCAGTTATCAGCTAAGCTCTTCATTAAATTCTCAGTTCATTAAAATGCCATTTAACATACTCTGACGCTTCTTCGGTTAATTAAAATGCTTTTTTAGATGTTCTGACGCTAAGTTCTTCAGTTATCAACTAAGCTCTTCAGTAAATTCTCAGTTCATTAAAATGTTATTTAAAATGGACTCTTCTTCAGTTCATTAAAATACTATTTAACAACTATTTAACATTTAACTGACACTAAACTCTTCAGTTATTAACTCTTCGATGAATTTGGAATTTTTTTTAAAATCCTATTTTGAAAATAAGTTTTTTTTAACAATTTGTTTCAAGGAATATAACCCCTCTAAGTTAAAAAGATACTTGTAGCAAAACATAAAATTACGAAAAATACCATCTAGTATCACGTTTTCTGCCACTTTCGTTTAAAGCTTACTTGTTAATCTCAAAAAAAATATTAAAATTCATGAGGCTAATGATTAACGTAAGTTTCTACTTAAGAAGCTATTTCAAGACGGAAGCTATAATTTCAAAAAGTAAAAATTTCCCTTTTGTCTGGAAATCTGGTCTTTATCCGTTACCACACTGTTGTTTAGCCAAGAATTTTTATTTATGAAAATGCATTTTTTGCGATAAAAATGCAAAACAAATCAGTAATGGTTGAAAATAATCGTAGCCTCACACCGTTTCCATTAATTGATCGATAATAAGTGATTTTATAGAAAGTTTTTAAAATATGCTGCTTTGATGGTTGTCAGACCTCTGTTTGTTAATAATTCAAACAACCAGTGTGTGATTGACCTTTCAACTTGGACTTCAATTAAAAAGGTGGGGTTGAAACGTGATTCGGTACTTTACTTCTTTAAAAACTGTTATTTTAAATACGTAAAATATTCCTCAGTTTGTCGTACTCGCTCATTATTATTTTAAATATGCTGATAGCCTTTGTGCATATTTACAAAATATATTTTAATTTTGATTAAATATATAATTTTGATATTTTTAAAAATTCTTTGAATGTTTTAAGTCTCTTTCCTCACCATCTTGGATATTTTTTAAAATTTTTGATATTAATATTTTTTTTTCTGTTCTTTAAAGATTTTATAATAGAGTATCATTAAACAGGCGTACTGTTCCATTTTGGGGGGGCCGACCAAATGGAAAAATTGCCAAACTATTATTCGGGTATATTGTGTTAGTTTATATGAAGACAGAAAATTAATAATTCAAGATTAGAATTTAGAATAACCCTCGAAACGGAGTTATTCCGGCATTTATGTACCTTTAAAAAATGTGAAAAATAAAAGCATCTCCTTATTAGGCTTGTAAATTTTGCTCTTGGTAGTTTTTAGAACTTTAGTAGAATGCTTTCAATTATTTAAGGCAATAAAATTATGCAATCATTAATTTTGAATTAGCAATTAAATGCTAAGCATTTTCTTGTTTTATGTTTCTTTGAATTTATTTTTATTGCAATTTAGAGGAAAACGATTTGAAAATTAATTAAAAATTCTCTACACTTAAATTACGCAAAAAGGTATCTTTTAAAAATCTAATAACAAACAAATTTAGAAAAATTTATTAAAGAAACGGTTTTGTTTATTCCAGACAAGCAAAACTTTGGAAAGTAAAACATTTTGTCCATGAAATTAATTTGGTTTTGTTTCATATTGTTTTTTTTTTTTTTTTTTAAATTCAATTCAGTTTAACTTTTCTCTCAGTGTGTTTGCTTTCTTTGGGTAAAACCAAACGATGTTTGAGGAGCTTTAATAAATTATTGTTCGATATATAGATTTTCAAATACCCGCCTTTAAGAACATGACTGGCTCTTAAATCTGAATGTTAGAGTGCTTTCGTAATATCATTTAAAGCATTCTTCCAATACGCTCTTTATACAGAGTAATCCATAATAACCATCATTAAAACAAAATTTTTGATCTTTTGCCAAAAATGAAGTCAAAGCAGAACAAACCGGTTTGAATGCCAAAGGAAACAGGAGACAATTATTAGATACATCTTCAAGTTTCAGCTAACAATCAAGCTTTTTTTGATATTTTCAATCTCGCCTTCTTTGGCAATGATTCATTATATTGCGATACCATATTTGCTTTTTCCTTGCTTAAATATAACAGTAGTCTGCTGTATGCATGTAAAGTGACAAAAGCTAAACGAAAAATCCAGTTTATTTCCAATATTTTCTAATTTGGCGGACTAGTTGGAAAAGTCTTCAGTTTGTAAAATCAGCCTAATACTTTTTAGACTTTTTACTTGTGTACTTATTACTTAGAGGAAGTAAGCATTGAATTATTCAATCTCACAGACTTTTCTTAAGCTTATTACCATTAGTCTTTACTGAGACTATACTACGATTATTGCCATGCTCCTGAAATAAATAAATAAATCAGGCTAATTGTGCAATTAATTATACATTTTATAATTAGCCTAAGGATATATAGGCAGACTAATAAAGTAAGCTTAAAAAGTATAAGCTTATTAGAAAATACTTAAGGTTCTTCCGATTAGCTTACATATCTCTAAATGATAATTAACCTACAATGCATACATCCAGATAATTAGCCAGCAACGCATACATGTGTATATTTTCTTGATAAAAGTTCTAAAAATATATACCAAGGAAGTTTGCTTAAAAAAACTAATCTGTGCCTTATGAACATTTTTCAGGTGAGCATTCAAGTTCATTTTGCAGTAAAACACAGCAACGAATGCCGATCTTTGAAGTGTACGTCCTGCAGCTCCTATTTCCGAACGGAAATGGAGTTTCAAGTCCACGTCAAACTCACACATCTCTCTAAAAATTTTCACGTCAACAGCAACAGCACAAACTACCGCTGTCTGCTGTGCGATCAGTGCTTTCCCAATGAAATCCAGCTACGCTTTCATGCTTCGACACACAAGAAACAATTCACCTGCAGTGTTTGTGGAGACGCTTTTCACGTTGAATTTCTCCTTGACAGACACATACAGACCGTCCACCAAGGAGTTGCGACACCGTCACCCTCAATTCACCCTTTTATCGGGCAGCAACGAAACAGCAGTCCACAACCGCAAACAGCCAACGTGTCGCCAAAAACAGGAACACACCAAAATGAAGAAGCTCAGAATCTTTGCACAAAGAGATCTCCCAGCGAAACAAATCGTGGTGAGTGAGCATTTACTTTCAACAAAAAATAAATTATTACAAAGGGTATTAGTCGAGTAAAGTATTTACTGTCTAGCAATCAGGAGAACTTCCCTTCCAAAATTAGTCTGAGATTCTTTGCTGCTATGGAAAGAGTAAAACCATGTTAAATGGATGAACTAAACTAAACTAAACTCAGTGGCGTGACAGCCCATAGAGTGCCAAGGCCTACTGTGCCCATGTCAGTTTTCTTGATATTAAAATAAATTATTACAAGGGGTATTAGTTGAGTAAAGTATTTACTATCTAGCAATCAGGAGAACTTCCCTCCCAAAATTAGTCCGAGATTGTCTGCTGCTATGGAATGAGTAAAACCATGTTAAATGGATGAACTAAACAAAACTAAACTCAGTGGCGTGACAGCCCATAAAGGGCCAAGACCTACTGCGCCCATCTCAATTTTCTTGACCTCGGACTTTGGGGTGCAGGAGCAGATGATCAGCCGAAGGTTAGGTGATCAGCCGAACGTGGAACCCCTAGTGTTTAGTTCCCAAGCATGATTGGTACTCATTTATCGACCCACTGAAAGGCTGAGTCAACCTTGTCCTGCCCGAGGATCGAACCTAATGTGGACACTTTAAATGGATGAATAAATAAAAAAATGTAGCGCTAAGGATTAAAATTCGTCGAAAGAGTTGCGGGTTACGATTTATTTTCACGCCTAAGATAAAAATAAAAACGCTCCATCGAATATTATTATATCTGTAGTGTACGCAATTTAACTCATTCCTTCAATTTAACTTTCAACGAAACTAACAACAAGCGTAGTAACTCCGCAAACATGCGATAATGCTACCAAAAAAAAAAGGAAAAAAAAAAAAAAAAACAGTGATATTTTAAACAAATATAGCCAAATAAGAGATATCACTCTAAGCATAGCAAGCTTAGTGATGTATGTTGTGATATTTAATTTCTCAAATTTATTTCGCCTTATAAAATACAGAAAACGCTTTCGAATTGTGAAATTATCCTTAAATTTAAAAATGTATCTCAACTATAAAACATCCTAGAAAATCAAACCTGTTCATGCATCGCCTCGCGAAGCGTGGGTCTGGAGGAGTTCTCGTAGTAGCACTAAAGTATGTTGCTCTTCTAATGTAAATTAAACTTAGACTAAGCTGCTTGATAGTAAACCAGAATAGTTTTCTCATGAATTCTATTAGGTATTTATATTCTCAGATAAATATGGGGGAAATTAATATTTCATGAAAATTAATATTTGAATTTTAGAAAACACTTTTTTACTTCTTTTTTTTAACATCGAATTTGCCTTTGACTCTTAACAATTTCTGAAACGAATTTTTCTGTGAAATTCAATGACGCAGTACCAAGTCCTTTTACATTATTTTTCTCTAGAACTACTGTTAAAAAATATTACGCGTGTTCGAAAACGGGTTTAGATTAAAATTGAAGCAGAGTATTAATTCGCAGACTTCGAAGCTTTTGCAATATTTCAAATTGTGAATAAAACTTGTTTACGTTAAAATATCGTGGGCTGTGATATTTTTATACCAGACGAGGAAAATCTTGCTATAAATTACTATTCTATCTATAAAAAAAATTTAGTTGACACAAGTTTTTACTTAATATTAATTTACACTATCGATGTAATGTTAACAGTCTACTAAATTGCCTTTCGTACACTTAAGAGAGGTTCGTTATGAATCCGCAAAAGAAAATAAAAGTTTAGGCCCCCCCAAAAAAAATTTTTTTTTTTTATTGAATTTCGTAAAATGTATTTCTAACCGTATTTTTTTAAGAAATATTTTTAAATTATAAAATAGAATAGAAAATAACAAAATAAAAATTATTTATCAAGAATTGCTAATCAGAATCCATTATATTCCCAGCGTAAGGACAAAACTTTAAATTTTGAATTATTTTTTGGGTTGTGGTGATTTTTCTCAGAAAAAAAATACAATTGTTAACATATACTATATAAGGAAGGACAACTATTACAAAAAATTTAAAACAGGAAATTGGAGATGGGTTCATAATCAGTCCCATTTCCTCTTGTGAAGGTTGAAAAATTTAAAGAATCGAACTTTTTAACCTTTTAATTCCCTTAAATGCTGAAAAAGAACGAAGAACTAAAGAAACTAGCATACTATTTACCAACATTCTACACTCTACTGATTCTCTTTTAAATATTGGAAAGATATACCTTAATATTCTTCTATTATTGTACAACTTATTTTACATAAAAGTACACGTGATTATTTTATACAGGTGATCCGACTCATCCAGAACAAAATCAACTAAACATTCCATCCTCTACATCTACTATATCTCCACCAGCATCAACACCAGCACCATCGAAATCCCCCGTATTGGGAAGATCTGACTATCGCTGTGATATTTGTGACATCGTCTGTTCTACAGAATCAGGTCTTGCTGCACACAGAAAACAGGCTCACCACATAAGGCTGCACAAAGACCACAAATGCAACAGTGGACCAGCATCTTCTGTCAGTGTCAGCCTGTTCTGTGCTTACTGCAATGAGTCCTGCAAGTCGAGAAGTGACCTAGAGAATCATATGAAAGCTCACACTGCAACGTCTAGCAAGCACAAATGCAATATCTGTGATGAGATCTGTCCATCTGCAACGACTCTTGCTGAGCACAAACTTACGCATTGCAAGGTAATTACGTAATATTTTGTAAAGGCTTACAAGCATAAGCAAAACGTATTTAATACACTTGATATCAAAGTCTGCATTTTCGATGCAAGAAACTCACAAAGATTGAAATTTGGCTTTTTGATAGGTACGGAATAAGCTTTGCAGATTATTTAGAGCTTTAAAGATCGCGAAAATAGTTAGTGAATATTATAGCAATTTTTTACTTTTCAATAAATAAATTCAATGAATAAAATGAATGCATTTTATGCATTGAAATTCTTGCATTCCATGTACAATATGGTTAAATTAAACAGGACTACAAAAAATTTTAATTATTTTAAACTTACTTAAACGTTTTACAACCAATTTGAAGTAATATAGATTTCATGTATTCATATCCCGATAACGGTAAAACTGATGAGCCGAACTCGACTGAATTTGCAATTGATACAATTTGGACCATAAGGATTTGGTTTTTAAAACAAAAGAAATAGTTTGATTTTTCACCAATAAGAGACTAAATAAGAGACTAAAATTACACTTCAAGTCATTTTTGAGTAAAATTGCCATGTCAAATAAAAAAATTTAAAATTTTACTTGAATTGCATTTCGATATTGAGATCGCATTTATATTCACAATTACATGTTAACATACATTTTATAATACACTTTAGCATTCATTCCACCTCATGACAGTAGCAGGCTACATGAAGATTAATATTTACGTAGAAGTAAGGTTATTTGAAATTTAATCGACCTGTTCTTGCTATGCCGATTCTTTTCATAAAGTGGACTTACAGCGATTCTGATCAATGAACCATTCTGTTCAATGAAAGTAAAAAAAAATCCAACTATTTTCTTTCTTTTAAAAGCCAGATTCCTCATGATATAGCATTTACTACAACTTTGGTTGGCTATTTTATTTGCTATCTGGTTTTAAACATTTCTACTTAAATCAAAATCAAGGCTTAATGGTGTAAATTTAACACTAAATATCAATTTTCCGTCATTTTTGGAAACCTTTTTTTTTACCTTTGCATTTACATAAATAAAAATTGCATTGCTTTTTTTATTTCGCACTCTCTATTATAATTAAACAAATTAAATGTATTAAGATTTAATGATGAAGGTAAAAATATGTTGTCAAAGCTAACTAAAATTCAATCCTCTTTTGTTCAATAAATGTTCCTTTATTTCCATTTTTCACAGAGAATAACTTGCATATTTTATTTGATAAATATCGTTACGCATGCAAAACTCGCTAAAAACTTGATGTTGATTGTAATTGCATATTGATTGCTATTGATATTGATTGATGTAATTGATATTGATTGATGTAACTGCAATAAATGCATTATAATCATTTTTGGACAATATTCTAATGTAATTAATAACATGTAATTTTTGCAGGTTATTTCTGGAAGTACGTGCATAGTGTGCAGGGTGCAACTTGCCAACGAAGAACAGTTTCTTAGTCATATCCAACAACATAACACATCTTCCAACACAAATGGCAACGGTCTTCCTGTTCCTTGCGTTGTTTGTCGACAAACCCTCGTCGTGGACGTCGAAGTGCGAATGCATGCCAAGTTCCATTTAAAGAACGCTACTCTAGAACCAACCCTCGGTGCTCCAGCCCCTTGTTGTGTATGTTCCAGAATGTTTGATCCAGGAAATCTCATCATTCGGGCATCGGGAAAAGTCTCCGATAACATGCCACCCCATACCTACATGTGTAAAGACTGTTTTCATTCCAAAGGTGAAGTGGAACCAGGTGTTCCAAGGTGTGGTGAATGTGGTGTTAAATTCGAAACATTCGGTGAGTTGGATAGTCACCGAAGAACTGCCCATCATCAAAGGAATGACAAAAAGACTTATCAGTGTATCAAATGCCAAATGTCTTTCGAATCCGAAGCAGATATACAAGCTCACGTGACGTGTCATGTGCTTCATGAAGGAACTCAGCATGAATGCAGGCTATGTCATGAGGTACGTTGTAGTTCCTATGTTTTTTTCTCTAATTTTCCACTGCAGTATCAACAGGAATAAAAACTTTATTTCGCACTAAGAAGAAAACAGCTCAAATCCATTATCCATGTCTTGAACACTGCAAATTTACCTCAACAGCAGCGCTCTCTAACATTAGAAACTGTAGGAAATTATATTTTTCTGTGGTAGTGAACGAAAGTAGAAATTTACAAAACTTCCATTCGAACTTGAAAATTCGACTATTAGTCTATCTGACCTTTTATACATACATCTGTTTGTATTGTTTATATGTAATAATGGACAAAATTCTTTTAAATCTGATTTATTAATATATTAGGCCATTATCTTTGCTGTCGCTAGCAAAAATATTTTCTGAAACTACAGAAATTCCTTGGCTGTCAGAAGGTAATTAAGTATTAGGGAAACTGGAAAGTAATGTCGTTTTGGTGCATTAATATTTGTTAGTCTTAAAAACCTTGTTCATTTTTTCTATTCATTTCTGATCCGGGATTGAAAGGTTGTCACTATCGAGGGTGAATACATTGATCAAAACTAAAATTTTGATCAAATATCAAACTCACCGAAACGGCATTACTTTCCAGTCTCCCTAATAATTAATTGATAACCATTACAGAGGAACTGGAACCAGAATATTATAAGGCTTAGTAATATTTTCAGGGTCAGAAATTTGAACCAGTTGTAAATCAGCATGCTTCAAAATTGTTAACACTGAGGTCTGATATTCTTGATTAAAACTTCTTTAATTACAGATTTCGTGATCTCGAAGCGAAATGGAGCCGTGTAATTAAATTTTGGGGTCGTGAAAAACCCTTTTTTTACAATAAAGTATGCATGACAAACTATTTACTCAACTTTCATCATCATCATCATCATAGTTGGCTAAACAGCCCAATGTGAGCCAATGCCTTCCTCTGAAGATTTCTCCATGACAACTTCCGATTCACTCAACTTTAGCAACCAAAATTTTCACTTTTTTTTTCTAAACGTTAAAACGTCCAGTTTTAAATGAGGAATTTTTTTTGCGAAGTTCTTTTTTTTCACCGAATTAACTACTATTTAAATTTACACTTGGAAAAAAAATTTGCGTTTATACGAGTGTTTGATTTTACTTAATTCAAGTGGGTAAATTTCAAATCTGAAAATAGTTTTGTTTCGCAAGCTACAGATTTTTTTTTCATTCAAAATAGTAATAAATCAGTGCTGCGAAAATATCTAATATCTTTTCGAAAATCCTATGCGAATCATTTTTCGCATTTATCTTTTTTTGGATAAATCAATTTTCAAATCCTTTTTTTTTCCAAAAATGACATCTTTTCATCAGACTTAATTTTCTTAAAAGAAACTGGCAAATCGATGGAATTTTTCCTGTATATACACACAATAGGCCAAAATATCTGAATGTCTACTTAAAAATCGTGGTGTTGTAAATCAAAAACGCACTTAAAATACCTTCTTGTAGAAAACTTAGCCAATTAAAGCCTTCTAGCCAATCAAAACTTCCCAAAACTCTTTAATTGTATTTTAACTGATACTTAGTATTTGCTTTCAGTATTAAACGAAATACTTTTTTTTAGATCATGGATTCGCCTTCCAAACTTCAGTGCCACTTAATTGAACATAATTTTGAAGGAAGTTCTCATTTTACTTGTTACATATGTGCAGCTGTCTTCACAAATTCATCCCTCCTCCAACGCCATATGGTAGATCATGGTCTTGATTCTCGCCCTTATGACTGCTCAGAATGTCGCCAAAAATTCTTCTTCCGGGCCGAATTAGAGAATCATTCTTACATTCATCTGTGGGAAAACGTGAATCGCCTTCAATCAGCAAACTCATCATTAAAAGGCAAGTATCAAACTTTTAACCATCATCCATCAAATCAACGAAAAGTCAAACATACTACGTCAAATTTATTACCTAATTTTTGCTGAACTGTTTAAGATTTTATTTTTAAGTTAATTTATTTTTCTGGAAATGTATATTTGCCCAATATCAATTATTTTCACAAAAGATTTTCAAAACAAAATATTTTCGCTGCAAAATATCCTAGCTCAAGATCAATTATTTTTACAACAAATTTTTGGAATATAATCGTTTTCGCAGCTCATCTCAACACAAAATAATCTCAACAATCAAACAATATCTTCATCTCAACACAAAAAGAATTTTTGCTTCAATATATTTTAATTTAATAAATATTTTTGCGGCAAATGTTTTAAGTGAAATATTTCCGCAGAAATAAGATTTTTCAAATTGCTTTTGGATACAGATAAGTTATAAATAAAAAATGTATAAAGCATCCCCACAACAGCGCATTGTGGGCAGGGGTCATGGAGCCGCAAGTTTGTGAACAACGGCATGATTGTGGCCATGTGGTCAGCACTGCACCACAGGCCACCTTCACTTCCCAGACAAGGTGGTACTTCCTGATCTGAAGTTAGATGGGCTTCAAGCCGTCACTGAGAATTAAACCCCAGTTTTTACAATGACAGCTCAACCCCTTCACCACTGAGCCAGCCATCACGGCTCGCATAGATGTTAAACATTGTTTAAATTGATACACATCATTATTAGATGTTAAAACTGTTAGTTAATAAGCTCGATTCTTTTTATAATATGTGTTTTAAATTGTTTGCTAATACTTTTAAGGCGGTATATTTTATACCAGGAGTGGTATACGTTGACCAACTTGGTCTCCGCTGTTTAGCAACAGCGGAGACCAAGTGGGACTCAACTATTTTTTGAGGCCCACAAAAATAGAGGAATCTACCTTGAATTAAAAATATATATCGATCCTACGTCTCAAAACTTAGTACTTCTTTCCGTGGAATCGGTGTCTCCTTGGTTAAGCATCGGGCTATTCCTATAACCTTCTTATATTTATAAGCACCCCATAATTTTTAAGTCCAAAAAAATAAACATAATTTCCCCTACCTGAAGAAACGCAGTCAGCAAAATTATTTTATTTTTTAATATTTTGCTTAACATCATTATCTAGAATGTGAATGAAATAATTTTATGTTTAATTCTAAACGAGCTTTCTATTTATTAGATCGTCTATAATGAAACCATAAACTTTATTCAATTGTAGGTAATGGAGAGAGTTCTCGACGCTTGTTTGAATGCCAACTATGCCCTAGTGTTTTCGGAAGTTCTTTAGATCTTGCAAAACATCAGCGAATCCACGAAAAGAGCTATAAGCATACGATAAGTAGTCGTTTAACTGTTTCCTGCCCTACTTGTGGAATGGAATTTTCATCAATAGAAGAATTAAGAAATCACGTATTGCTGCTGCACCCTACAACGTCTGACGAGGGCATCTTCAATCTTAAGCCAGACAAAGGTGAGTGCGATAGTCAAGTAAAAAAAATTTTTCGAAACTAAATAAATAATAAGAGGCTAGTAAATTTATTTTTTCTACACAGAAGAAACAAATGTGTCTATGTTTAGATTTTTTAAATTATTCATTCATGCTGAACCAAATTATCGTGATCATTTGTTTCAATCAGAACATGTCACGTTGCACCTCATATTAGAAGACTCGGAAATAATTGTGTACTTTCAAAAATGTAAACAAATTTTTCAGTAGGGTATTCGTTCGAACACTGTTATAAATAATTACGCATAATGTCTAATACATTTGCTAAAACCTCTGTACAGACTCAGAGGTTGTAGTACAGGGTGGTCGAAATTTAACTGACGGCTCTATAGAACAGATTCAAATAAAACTTAAAATATATATTATGTAGATCATGAGGTTGGAGTTCACGTCGAAAAAAGTATCTTGAACTTTCACCATTAGGTGTCACTTTTGCGTAGTTACTAGGAATATTACAACTCAAATTTGAAAATATAACAGAATATTTACTCACCTGCATGCTTTGTGTGCATAACTTGTCGTTCAACAATCAGCATATGGTTACACGTGTGCATTATTTACGTGCGGTTTAAGCAGTACAACGAAATCTATTTGCAATATTTCAAACTATTTTTTCCGATAGAAACCTCAGCTCCATTATCTGAATAAAACATATTTGAAGTTTCATTTGAATCCTTTCAGAAGAGCTAGAGACTCTGAGTACCGTCAGTTTAACCTTAATTATCTAATAATTTATCTACTATTAAATGTTTAACTATCTAACAGCCTTAACTAATATGGTTACACATGTGATTTAGCACAGCAATTACAAACTTAGAGAATAGGTTGGACGCATCATAAACATTGAAAATCGCATAGCAATCCACAGCAGGAAATCTCATCGTATACTACTAGAAGCGCTTCCCTATTATGGGCTGGCTTTTATCTTTCTTAATCATCTTTATATTTCCTTATAGTTATCATCGAAAATTTTCCAAATTTAATTGTTTTATCATAATTTCTTGATTTGATGACCAACTTGCAGCACTCGCTAATTCGATTGGCAAATTAGATTACCAGTACTTTACGATACAACATCTGCTTCCAGGCTTATTTGAATGCAGTTTTGGACAATAGTAACAAAAAGAGCTGTGATGGCTCATGGGACAAGGTATTCCAATGAGGTGAACTGGGTTCGAATCACAGCGGTGGCTGGTCGATACGAATTCCGCATCCGGCTTGCATTGACCACAGTGCTGACGTAAAATAATCTCAGTGGTAGACGGATTATGAATTAGTCTCCTTGCCATCAGGGCAGACGTGGGAGGTTTTCGTAGTTTCCCTCTCCATGTAATTCAAATGTGGGCTAGTTCCATGAAAAAGTCCTCCACGGAGCTAAATTTCTCCCAATACATGATCCTTGTCTTCTGGATTGGTTTCAAAACTACAAGGGTTCGTAATTGAACGTAAGGAGTCGCAAGTCCAGAAATTGGTCGGCTGTTCAGCTACGGTTATAAAATAAAGTATCAGAAATCATAAAATTAACATGTAATAAATTTAATTTAGACAAGTGAAAGTTCTGATTTAGATGTGCACGAACAGCTTGCAAACCATAAGAAAGCCTCCTTGCTGCCTACCATAACATTTTCGGCCTTGCGTTGCTATGCAATTTTCAATCCTTTATATGTGCCCTACCACCTCTACAAATTTGAGACTGCTTTTCTGAGTCACAATTGAGGCTTAATACGCTCACTTTTACTCCTGACAATCGTTGCAGCAAATGCTTTCTTTATATTGGTTCAATGTTCAATTGGTTATATTGGTTCAAATATTTTTAACGGTGAATGTACAAAAGAATCCATTATACAATTATGTTTCCTATATTTAATGGTCAATATTATTATTCAATTATTATCATTTATTGGTCATAAACAAAAAGAGCCACTACTTTTTGATTATCATTAGAAAGAAAATAATAGCAAAATAAATTTGTATTTTTAGTGAATCGCATACATTGAATTATAATCGAATTCTCTATTATGTTTCAAGCAGAAATAGTACAGAGTAAGGTTTGTTGTAGGTTATTAAATCTCAAAATGAACAACTATCATAAAAATTGAATTTTCGAATAAGCGTTCAATATTCAATTTATATAATTTTTATGATACCTGTTATCTTTAGAAGCTCTTGTGAAAGGGCTCTGTTGGAAATCTCCAATAATTTAAATCCGCGCCCAAGCTGTGCTTTCGTAAATTTAATTAGTTAACCGTAATTAAATGAACTCAAAAGCTGGAGGTCATTACAAATCTATTTCAGAAACACCTACCTTATTTTTAGTCTAGATCAAGATATACTTGATAAGAAAAATAGCTGTAGTGAAACTTAAATAGATATTTAGTGTCCCTTACAAAAAAGTAAGGCGTTTTTGAGGTTGACAGATGTAAAAAATGCTTCTGAGGTAGAAAATGAGGTTATGTTTTGCACCAAAAATAACCTCATTAATAAACCTCAATTGCAACCTCATTTACGCTTCATAAAATCATCCTCATATTAAACTCAGCAATACTTTTGAGATTGGGGGAAATTTTTCACACCTCAAAAATACTTATTCGCTTGAAGTGTAGAAAAGCAAGCTTGTACACCTCAAAAAAACCTCTCTAAGCTGGTTACTCTAGAAGAAATTTTCAAACAAACTTAAAACAACCTCAAATGAGAATAAAACAATTTCATAGACCTTGATTATACATCTAGAGAAGTTGCTCTTTTAAGGTTGTTTTTGAAATAAACTTCGAATAAACCTGGAATGAACCTTAACACCTCAATTAAACCTCAAAAAACACCTTACATTTTTGAAGGGGGCAGATCAAAGTAATCTATCACGCTACAATTAGTTGGCTCGCAATAGTTTGTGTAGTACTTTGTATAGTTTGTATAGTAGATATGTATAAGTCAGTTCTTTTATAATTTCTTTTTATTTTTCATTTTAGTCGAGCAAGATCTATACAAGTTTGATGAAGACAGTCTATCAAATGATAAACTTCCTTTAAAAACTATCATCAAAATAGGAAAAGAAAAGAAATCATTCGAATGCCCTGTATGTAAGAAAAAGTTTACAAGGAAAGAAAACCGAAAATTGCATTTAAAATCTCACCATCAAAATGTTGCTCCAAAGACATATTCTTGTCCGGACTGTGGAAAGATTTTCTTGAAACGTCTGCAAATGAAGGTAAGTTTAATGAGTTATTTTCAATCCTAACACATTACAATTCTACCATGGATTAAGGGGAAAGAAGGGGGATATTCTTTAAATATGTAAATAAACAAGTTAATACAAGTAAGCACAAAATCATCAAATGATCCATTTTTCGATTCGTTTATTTCTCTTCGACAAATAATATTATGTTCGATAATTTTAGATCCACCTTCTTTCAGATTAATCTCTGTATTAATTCGTCATAACTTTGATAAAATGTTTTGGTATCCTTCTACAAGAGTTAGATGCTTATGAGCTTGCTGGATTTGTTGCTGAAAAGAAAATATGGGGATACTAAATTAAAAACAACATAGGGTAACAGTGCTTTCTCTTAAGAAGTGATTTACCAGATCTGTTGTTCTATACGCAAGAAATATACTAAAACTTCATCATTAAATTAAAAAATTGTATTTTTTCAATGTTGACTCCAATTGTCATAATATGGAATACATGTCCTAAACTGCATTCATCTTTAATGTAAAATACTGGGTCTGCAATGTTATTATAAAAATCACCCTATATTAAGAATTAATATTCCTATTTTATTTTCGTACCTAACCTCAGCTGAATTTCTTTCAGGAGCACATGAGGACGCACATAACATCCACGACGCACCGCTGTGAAATTTGTGATGATTTCCTACCATCTTCAGTGACGCTGAAGCAACATCTGAAAGACATCCACGATCGTAAATTTGACTATTCTTGTATTGTCTGCGAAGATTTGTTTGACGACGAAAAGCAACTTGAGGATCACCAAGTGACGGAGCATCGACCAAACATTCTGGAACAGCAAGAATCCTCCTTAACGATTCCCAAAACTGAAATTCAATCACTACCGCCTTCTCCAGAGCCTTCCTTATCCGACGAAACTCTTCCAAAATCAGAATCGGAAACATTCCAGAACACTTGCAAAGTTAAAAATGAACCGCCACCAGAAGATATGGAATATGAGTGTCCCGAAGAAAGCTCAACCTTAACTGCTGAAGTAGCAGCTTAAAATAGATTGCTTTTTGTACTGTGGCAAAATTATTGTACTATATTTTGTACTCGTTTCGAACAATACAAATACGCAACCCCTGCAGGGTAAATATTTGAACGGATACCGATTATAAGGTTTTGGGGTCTGGTGGTGAAAAGGATCTGATTAGCTGCCAATCTCGAAATAAATTTGGGGGAGGGGCTGATTGTTTTTCAGTACGGACCTGCTGTTCTTTTAGGGGTAAACTGTGCATTGAGGGAAAAGTTTTGGACAAGTTTGCCTCCAAGAAACGTGACAGTTTAAAGGTTAGTATAAATGCGGTGCTTATAAATCCATGACACTAATTTTCAAGCCGTCCTATCGATTCTTGAAATCTAAATTATGTCAGTGCCAAACTCCCGTACCAATCTCCATACTTTGTTTTTTTTTTAGTTTAAACTGAAATTTACTTGAATAAAATCACAGTACTTATAACTTATTTGCAATTATATTTTATTTAACAGCCTTATAATTTAACAAAGACGAACATCAAAAAAAAAAGAAATCTATATGGTACTACTTCAACACGAACTCTTAAGTATCATAATTGTCCCGAAGCAACTGCTTTTAACAACTGCATGATTCGATAATTACTTTATCGAATTATCTCAGTGTAATTCGGCTGCATTTATGCAATCATAGCAGACTTGGTAAGACAGAGCTCTCAGTGGTTTCTATTTCACTTTTATCAAGAGTAATTTAGTAGTGCTAAATATTGGTGCTATTTATTTAAAAAATCAAAACTTCAAAGTAATACATTTAAGATGAATTTGTTTTGTACTATTTCATACTACCTTAATAAATTAATATACACCTATACTAAGAATAAACCCCATATAGTTCATTGACTGAAACTTCTTTCTTCAAAAAAATTAAATAAACATTTTGTTCAGTTAAGTCTTTTTTAGCAACATTTTTTAAGCCAATAATTGACTAATGATTCGATTTTTTCACTTGTAATTACTATTAAATGTAAAAATTTCTATTTTGAACTTATGTTAAGTGTAATAAAAACTAATTATCATTTTTAAAAAAAATGCTTAGTAGAAATATTGTCATAGATTTGACATTCGTTAAGAATAAATTTTTTTATTCACCAACTTTTTCAAAAAAATTTAATAAAAATAAAGCAGGAATGAAATAAAAATGTATACAATAACATTTCAAAATAACTAAGAGGCATTAAACAATTAATTACAAAACAAATGCTAAAAAATTGTAAAAAATAACGTTTTATTCATATTTTTCCTCATTAAACATATTCGCAACTTTTTTTTAATCGTGCTTAAAATACTTTTATATGGGTTGTCCAAATGAAAAATGGACAAGTGTGATAGCGTCAGAAATATTAAAGCAATGGCAGCATCACTAGTTAAATTATAAAATAAAGCAAGAAAAGTGTGTTGCGCATGTATCGGATTTACTTGCTTACATAAGAAAAATTAAAGTGGATATAATTTTATCCTAATCATGCAATAACAACGCAAATTTATATTATTTTAGTTGCAGAAAGTGAGTCTTAAGAAAACATTTATGGTCAAATAAGACTGTTTATAGCTAGTAGTCTCAGACTAACGACTGTGAACAAATGGTATGAGAGAGCAAGTTGAACAAAACAAATAATTTATTCCGAGAAACATGATAAATACAGTAGTAGGTGGATGGACATGTATCTGATACATATAGCGAGAGCAAATCTAACTATTTTTCTGCTAAAACAATCAACTTAAAACGCCTTCTTGAGGAGGAGGGGAACATTAAACTTCTAAGGATCCTCTACTATTCCTACCAAACTAACCAACTAGATGCATGACCAGCATAACTAAACTAAGTTGCAATTTCTCTGACTAAATGGTCACAAATCGGAAATGATACTTTCAATCGCCACTAAGGACCAAAAGTTGAGAAAATTGGACTAAGAAATTTTTAAATACAAAAAACTATTTAAAAAAAATCGTTGATTTTGTAGATTGGCCAGCAGTAGCTTAATATCTTCTGAAATTGTAATGACCCTGGCGATTGGATTGATCCGACAGACTATATATATTTGAGAGATTCAATTTTGCCACCTTTAATGACCAATCAAAACATCAGAGCAGTTGAGGCATCGTAAGATAGTAAGTTTTCATTTTTAGAGTAAGTTCCAATTTATTTATTTAGAAATGATGCAAGCCTAATAACAAACTTTTTTTTAAATTTTTGAGCATTTTAGTCAAAATTTCACAATATTTCAACCCATTGTGGTAACGAAAGATATTAATTCAGAGCTATAAGATATTGCATATTTCTTGATGGATTAATATTGGTAGTTGACAATATTTTCCCACTCTCACGAAAAGACACTTCTGCTTTTTGACCCAACCTGATATACAGATCCTCAAACCAAGCTTTATAACCCCGAATGGTGATATCGTCATTGTATTTCTAACCCTATCACACACGTTCTTTCTTGATTCGGGCTTCTCTTATAGATTTTGGGGTATGGTCTGGCGGGATAATATGGAGTGCTGAATTATATGAAAGAGTTCAAAAGATATAGTCTGGCCATTACGAGATAACCCACTAAAAACAACTTGATTAGAAGTCCATCTCGTGATTGCCAGACAGTACACAGACTGCTGTGCAATGTGGTTCAAATATTTTTCTTGTCAAGGACAAAACAAAGTATGTCTCTGTTATTATTATATAATTAGGTTTTCAGAAAGTAAAAAGAAAAGTACTGGTGCTATGTACTAAAATGAAATCCATATACTCAAGTGCACTTCCTTAGAGCTTTGAGCCGAAAGAGTGAAAATTAAACATTCTTCATATCAAAGATGATGTGTAAATATCCTGTAAATTATTATGTGTTCTGGGTGGTATTAAATACTCATTCATTTATAAACTAATATATCGAGCGATTTTTATTTATTATATATTTGTTGAAGATTGGATTCATATTTTATTTATTGAATTTTTACTGTTTAAAAAAAATGTGACTTTAAGCCACCTATTAGTTGCTGTTTTGGATTACGAGCTTTCAAATATTTTATTCTTTTTTTTTATTGTTAGTAGTATTCATTCATTCACGAGTTCATTTGAGTATCGTTCATATCAGCTGTATTCATTAATTTATTTTCTATTAAATTGTTATTCATGCTTTTTAGTGGAGTTTTGATAAACATTTGTATTATTCATTAGTTCGAGAAATTTGTAAATATTAACACTGTTGAAATAGCTTCAAAAATACCAATATAAAGCTAGTTAAAGTATTTCATAAATGCCAAAACTTTTTCTAAACAAAGAAAATTAGAATTATTCGTGAAATCTTAGCTAAAGCTAAATTATTTAATATTAAATTGCTAATGTTTTCCACAAAAACTCACGAATACCATTTTTTGTAATTACTCAAATTCCACAAGGGTAATTAGATTAACTCTTAAATGCCAAACATTTTGCTGAAACTATACGTAACTTAGAACCCCAATAATTAAACAGCAGAAAAATTACAACTCTGTTTAATATTATATTCAAAAAAATAAATAAAATGTAAGAATTAGACCTCATAAATCAAAAGCTCATGAAATATAAAAAAATTATCATTTTACTTATTTTAATTAAAAAATGGAACTAATAAATTTTCTCTGATAGTTTCATATTTACAATTAAGACACATTCCAATTATACAAGATAATTTCGAATGTTTTTAGATTTTCACGTTTTTTGTTTTGTATCATTCGCATCATTCATGAAATCGCATTCGCATCATTCATTACGTTTCGTATGATTCATGAAATACCCTAAAAATGTTTCGGATATTTCATTTTTAAGCATTTCAGTACTTAAAATAACAGGAAGCGCTTGTGGCACTATAATGGTAAGAAACATTTTAAAATTTTTCAGAAGAACGTTTCTCAAAAGTGTTTTACAAGCTCTTCGTGAAGAGAATTAGATGCTTCTATGTATTGTACTTTTTTTTAGTGGCAGTTCTGGAAAATTGCTAACAAAGAAAGTGCCTGAAGTGTTACTCATAAAAAATCACATTAAATCAATTATTAAGTTATAAATTATTTTTAAAAAACTACATTTTTACTATAAATGTGTCGATAAGTTTAATTCATTACGCACAAGCAGAATAAAACAATTGCTTTAAAACGTTCGTCCTGTATCGGAAACTTTCATATTTGCGTTTGTATAGTCTAAATTCAAAATATTAAATTATAAAATTAAAATAAAAATGCTTTATTTCAAGCAATAAATTCAAGTTCCTGCATCATTCTACATTTAACAAGAATTTTACAATAAAAAATTTATTATCTGAATTAGAACTCTTAACAAGAAATCGAGTGAAATTTTTTTTCATTTATCTTAAATAATACAAATAGAAAAGTCACGTTTATACGCAAAATTTCTTTAATTCTTTACAATTTTTTTTCCCAAACTTACAGTTTCAATAATTTATGTTTCATGAACCAACATATATATTCGAGTAATACTTCGAGTAATTTCCTTGTAAGTACTTATCTGTACAATACTAAGAAGCAATCTGATTTAAAAAAATTTTTAAGAATTTGACTTATCACTATACCACAAGCCTTTATCTTAATTTTCATGTAATACTGTACTTTTATTTTTAAAATAAATCCATTTTTGTTAGTAGTATGAATGATGATGACGTAATTATTTCTCTCTTATGTTTTTTATCAACTGACTAAATGCTTTCAAAAGGTGATGTTTATATGGACATCGTGTTATGCCGGTGATGCTGTTATTAGTTGTTTCTATTATTTTGAGTCTTTGTTATACATATATAAAAAAACGAATATGTATTTTGTGGTCGTTTGAGTCTCACCTCTCTAAAAGTGGTTGGGTCCAAAGTATGAAATTATTTATGTTTCAACATATTTATGAAGCTGAATAAAATAATTTATAAATAATAACATAATTGCGTGTCTTGCATTATTTAAATCAAAACACATTGTCTTAACAGTATTTATCGAAGCTTTTTCACCAGGAGAAATGAAAAGCTATTGTTTAAGAACTTTATACTTCAAGCAAAGCTATATTTTAAAACTCTAAAGTAGCATAGTACATCATGCAGTACAGAATTCTCAGGGCTTTAGAATAAACAAATGACTAAAATAGTTTATTTTTCAAAAACCATGCTTCATGTTTCGATAGAAATTCTTAATTAGTTCGTAATAGTAATTGTATATTATCAAATCAAAAATTTATTCTATCGTTCGAACATTAATAATAGATTCGAAAGCCTATTTAAAAAAAACACACGATTGACATATGTATAACATATGTATAATTCTCAGTTTTAGTAAAAAATTTTAAATTTGTGTTTGAAAGGTAATTCTACTAACGAATTTTCTAGTTAAATAAATGAATTAAAAGCTAAATACTATTTTGAATTTCAATTACTTAGCTTAAATACGTCGAAAAGATTACATAAATAAATAATATTTAGATACTCTGAACTGCAAGTCTCATTTTCATATATATACAAAATCACAAATTACATTTACTTCTTAATGTTTACGAAAGAAAATTGCTCTTTTCTAAACATATTTTTCCAAACTTTATACTTAATACATACATATATTATGAAATTCTCTTTTGTTTTTTGGAAAAAAAACTGTTTATAGTAACAACAATAAGAAATTAAAAAACGAAAATTTAAAAAAAAATATTGAAAATTTTAAAACTAAAAACGAAACAAAACATTTGATAAAACAAATTTTCAACATATTGAAAAGCTATGATATATTACACTTATAATAAATTTCATGGAAAAAAAATATTTTAAAATGAAGAATTAAAAAATTCTAAATTTTCGGAGAGTTAAATTCAATTGAAATTGCATCAGAGCATTCATACATAAAATGTGAGTACGTAATTCATTTAAAAGTTATTAAGCATTGAATTGAGTTGAAATTTAAATATTAATCTTATAATTGTGTAGGCTTTTAGAAATATAATATACTTAAGTAACAATTTTAATTTAATTTGAAACTACTATTTTGATTTTAAAAGATTTAAAGCGAGAAATCCTTTATTGTTCGATAATCAACTACATCTACTATCATAACTTAAAATAACATCTACATGTTACTAGTCATTATTACGCATTTTTTTTAAAAAATTATTTCA